CAGGATTTGTAACCAATTCTGCCAGAAAGTTAATAGAATGGCACCTCTGACAACAGCTATGCAAGGGTAAAAATCAAAAATCACTGCTAATTCACTGACCTCCAATCCATTCCATCAATCCAAAAATCAGCCTGTGATGTGTTACTCAGATTCCATCCTAAGCACAAATTGACTGCTAACCCCATTGCTTCAACACAAACTAGGAGTATAACCTGGCCAAGGATTTTTGATGAGACTGCAGCAGGAAGATGTTTATCCCCAAAACCTGAATTCAGGTTATGGCAGACAAGAGATGCACTGCAGTACAAATCAAACAGAAATCTTCTTGACTCCAGGTGATGTTTTCAGCCGCGGTGCAAGGCAGAGGGTTACAAAACACCAGAGGGGAGGAAAAGAAACAAACAGAACACAAGAAAACAAGGCAAGATTACAGTAAGACAGAGATGCTACTCAGCAAAGCCTCCACAAAACACTTCTAGGGCAGCACATGTTTTGAAGGTTAAACAAAAACCGCTATCGCAGGAGGTAGTGAGGGAGAGCTGCAGACTGATAAAAGAATTCAGGGAGAACATTCTTTCCAAAGAGACAGCAGGGGGAAAAAAGAAACCATCTCAGAGGCAGCAAACAAGGTACCCAAACAAGAGTAGCCTTGCCAGCTGACAATTTACTTTTGCCTTTGCCCCAACACCTGGGAGACTGGTATCTGTTATTAATAGAACACAAAAGACTGATTGGCTTTTGTTCTGCAGACAAGGCGCATCCTAAATGTTTGCTGTCAGCAGAAACTCATATTGTGCTGGCAAACAACAGCTTTGGTTACAAAACAGCTAGTCCCAATAAAAGCAGTTCTAGGGCTGCTTTAAGAATGAATACTGCTGTGCTGTTTCTTGGCCATGCTTTGTAAAAATCAATTAAGGGCAAAATACCTTTTTCAAGCAAGCAAAAGCCACTAAACACACAAGAAAAAGAGTACTTGGTTTGAACACATGGACAGGTATGGCCTTTTAAAGGTTAGTAGCCTCTTCTCAAAGGTGTTTAAACCCAAACAAAGCAAGAACATACTGCAAAGTGTAAAAGATAACCAATGCTAGAAGAGTCCTGATTCTGTTGGCCTCGTTTCAGCAGCTTGCTTATAGCTTTCTTCTGAAGGCATCATACACAGCGCTGCAAGTTGTTCCTCGGTGCCCTTTGAGTAGGCAGATCTGCAAACCCAGCTCAACAACTGATTAAAACCAGATGAACTGTACTTTGAGCTTTAATAAAACATGTCTTAATAAAATGAATTTGTTTGCAAAGGTTTTTATGATCCTTCTGATGTGGTTTGATTAGAACACCAGTAGTTAGTGGCAGGAGACAACGGCGCCATTAAGATTTAACTGAGAGCGGACCACAGCTTTCCTCCATCACTGCTGTTACCTGGTGAAGCACTTCTAAATCAGAGGATACCGCAATCAAAATCGACTGATAAACACTGAGAACTTGCACTGGGAGTATCAGTGTAGCTGACCTGATGATCAAACACCAGTTTTGGGCCTCCATCCGCTGCAGTATCTTCACTCAGCAGCATCCATGTGTTGGTGTCAATGTCATAGCGGTAGAAGTCGCTCTTCAGAGATTTGCTGTTCCTCACAGAGGAATCCAGGTAGCGTCCCAGCGTGTAGATCTGCCTTCTTTGAATGTCAATGCACATCTTGTGACAGGATCTGGCACTGGGACCACTCTAATAAAGAAAACAACCACAAAAATAGAGTTAGGTATTTAGTATCATGCCAGGTAGGTCGTTGCACGCTCGCTACGGGCAAGGAAGCACTATCAGCAACTGGAAAGCCTTGGAGAAGTCAAGGAAATCTCCTCGTAATCAAATACAGGATTAATCACAGAATAGTTTGGGGTGGAGAAGACCTTAAGATCATCTAGTTCCAAACCCCTGCCATGGGCAGGGACACCTCACACTGGACCATGTCACCCAAGGCTCTTTGGGTGGCCTGTTCCAGTGCCTGGCCACCCCCACAGTAAACATATAAGTATCTACATAACAGGACATCCCATAACTGCTTTGTCCTTTAGGAAGACCAGCAACAACCTTAACGTATTTTCTACAACTTACGACTTGAAGCCTGTGAGATTCCTTGGGAAACAGCCTGTTGCCTCCAGAAGTGATCCTCAGAGGCATACGAAAGCTACTTGATCTTTTAAAATAACAGAAGTTGATGCACATGACAGGCAAATTAAGATGTCACAGTCTATAAATAACCACACAGGAAGAAGATTAATAAGTGCTCTATTACAAGAGGCTCTGTCTTATTAATAGGCTGTTTTCTAACAGCTCATAAGCAGACACTCCCACAAGCAATCATAGCCTATAATGGGTCTCTGAAGGTAACAAAAGCACCCCCTGTCTTTCCCAAATAGATATGGCCATTCCAGCCACCAGCTCCAAGAAAGTTTCCCACAGTAAACAGAAGTGCCATGAGTTATGATCTTCAAAAGGAACACAGAGGAGCCCTGTCCAGTTATTATGTGCTCATCCATCCATCCAAGAGGGATTTAGTCAACGACATCATGATGATGCAACGCGGTACTGGGCAGCATCCTTTCTGCTTCCCAAATCTAGTTTTAAGAGCCTTTGTACGTGCATCTTGAAGTATG